GTGGACTATATGCATTTATCATCATTAGTTTATCATCCTCATAGCAGATCTCTAGTGCTATTATGTCAACTTCTTGTGGATTGGCAGTCATTATTTCCTTCACCTTTAGGTGATCTTTTACCAGCACAGCAACGCCACCGCCTTTCCTAATTTTTCTGTCCCGTCTCCAAATTGAGTAGCCCCTTGGGAATATGACCTCATTTAAAATTACATCTTCAAGTTTTGTCTCCGTGAGTGCAACAATGTCTGGTGTCTGCAGCTGTATTACATCACTTAACTCCAGTATCTTCGATCTCACTCCATCTATGTTGGTGTATGCAATCTTCAGGAACTTGTTCCCCCTCTCCTTATTCTTCACTCCCCCTCTCTCTATTGATTTTGTTGGTTTGCCTTTATGTACCACTTTACTGGTTTGCCTACCCCTATCACTTTGTAGAAAAAAGAATTTATTTCTTCTTCATTCCTGCTCTCATTTAAATGTTTTGCCTCGGCGAGGTTCAGTTTCAGCTTCTCTCTATCTTCTTTTGAAAGATCTCGTCTTAACGACCACCCTTTCCCATCCTCATCCCTTTGCAATTTTCTAGCATTCCTTAGTACTTCTTCCATCTGTTTGGCACCGTTTAGGGTGATCCTCAAAGGTCGATCTTTCCCTTTTACGTACCTGCCTATTCTCCTGTAGTCGCACATGTAGTCACTCCTGTAGTTGTGTTTATATGCAAGCACTTAGAATGCATTTATATGCAAGATAAATGCATTATTATATGCATTTATTGACAATGAATTATATGTCTGGCAGAGTGCCTTATGTGGCATTCATCATTAGACATTGCAATTGTAATAAGTTTATTGAGGTCAAATACACACAAAGAGATGAGGTAGCTCAAGCTATTCTCACCCCGGTTCATCAGACATCGTTGTGATTATGTTCCCCAGGGACTCCCTGAGAGATGCCGGAACGTCTGAAGAATGAACAAGTGTCCGGGATCCTGGGAACTGTGGGTCAAGTAGTACGGGAACTTTATCCCTATTCTGAACACTATCTTCTTGAGGTTATCTTGAGATGATTTCGGGGCTTTTTAGTGTCCCCGCGGCCCGGTCCTCGACCAGGCCTCCACCCCCAGGAAGCAGCCCGTGACAGCTGACTTAACTCCCAGGTACCTATTTACTGCTAGGTAACAAGGGCATTCAGGGTGAAAGAAACTTTGCCCATTTGTTTCTGCCTCGTGCGGGAATCGAACCCGCGCCACAGAATTACGAGTCCTGCGCGCTATCCACCAGGCTACGAGGGCCCCTATACTATAAGGTCAGTACCTACATGAATTAATAAAATTAGTTAATTTAGTTTCATTAAGAATAAATTTGCAGTTAATTGGATCTACTTTACTAAAAGATTTGTTGTCCTTTACCATATCTATATGATCTATAATTACCCCCTTCTAGTAGGCATCTTTCTTTAATATTTGAGCAGTTATATACAATTATACTCTTATTAAAATCTATCTAGCGATTGAAATCCCAGCGATGGCATTATTCCAATCAATTTTTTTTACTGCTTTCTTGTGTTCAACTCTTTTCAATAAACAACAGCTAGTCACTGCAACATGTAATAAATTGCAATCATTGCAATTTATAACAAATACCATTACCTTCAATGTTATTATTATTATTATTACCATTATCAGCATTACCATTGTCACCTCTACCCTTGTTGACAATATTACCGGCACTACCACCCCTCCTGGTATTGTTATTGTTATCATTAACTCTATTATACTATCATACCCAACAGTATTATTACCATTACTCCCCATTGTTATTATTGATATTGTTTTGGTAAACTATTGTGGTAACGGTTACCATCATCATTATTACCGTCATTGTTATTACTATTATTACCTTTATTATTATTACTGTTACTCCCGTTATTATTGCGTTTGTTTTGGCAAATTGTTACTGTTCCCATTCCCGTGGTTAAGTGGTAAGACACTTGCCACTTAGGAGGGAGGGAGCCGGTCGGCCGAGCGGACAGCACGCTGGACTTGTGATCCTGTAGTCCTGGGTTCGATCCCAGGCGCCGGCGAGAAACAATGGGCAGTTTCTTTCACCCTATGCCCCTGTTACCTAGCAGTAAATAGGTACCTGGGTGTTAGTCAGCTGTCACGGGCTGCTTCCTGGGGGTGGAGGCCTGGTTGAGGACCGGGCCGCGGGGACACTAAAGCCCCGAAATCATCTCAAGATAGCCTCAAGATTGCCTGGCGTTTTGCAAGCACTTTGTCCTGGGTTCGTATCCTGGCTGGGGAGGATTTACTGGGCGCCAATCCTTAACTGTAGCCTGTTTACCCAACAGTAAAATGGGTAACTGGTTGTTAAACAATTTGGCGAGTCATATTCCGGGTGAAATTAAGATTAAGGACTTGCCAGAAATGCTATGCGTGCTAGTGGCTGTACAAGAATGTAAGAACTCATGTATACAGTATATAAATAACAAAAAATAATTAAACTGTAATGGATATTAATACTGATGGGAATGCTGGTAGTGTTAATGATAATAAAAATAACAGCAGTAGCGGTAATTATCTAAGTGTAGTTACAGGATGAGAGCTATGCTCGTGGTGTCCCGTCTTCCCAGCACTCTTTGTCGTATAACACTACAGTACAGTATTGACAGTTTTGGCCTCCACCATCTTCTCACTTAGCTCACTTAGGTTGTTCCAACCGTCTACCACTCTGTTTACAAAAGAAAACTTTCTAATATTTTTTTTGCACCTTTGTTTCCTTAACTTGAATCTGTGTCCTCTTGAAGTAGCTGGTTTCAGGAATTCCTCTTTTTGTCAATTTGGTCAATTCCTGTTAGTATTTTGTAAGTGGTGATCATTTCACCTCTTTTTCTTCTATCTTACAATACAATACAATTTTATTTAGGTAAGGTACATACATACAATAAATATTTACAAGGATTGTTTAACTTATAGATAGAGCTAGTACATACAATGCCTAAAGCCACTATTACGCAAAGCGTTTCGGGCATGAATCTTCTAGTTTTGGCGTATTTAACACCTCTAATCTCTCCTCATAACTCTAGTTTTTCAGTTCCAGAAGCCATTTTGTAACATGATTTTGCACCTTTTCCAGCTTATTTATGTGTTTCTAGAGATATGGGAACCATACAACTACTGCATATTCCAGTTTTGGTCTCAAGTCATGAACAGTTTCTTTAGTATTTCACATCTATGTAATTAAAAGAGCTTCTGAAGTTGGAAAGCTATGCATATGCTCCTCTCACAATGGTCTTTGTGTTCCTCTGGTGACAGTCTACTATCCAAAACCACCTCTAAGTCTCATTCTTATTAGAGTTCATTAATTCCTTTCCATATAATTTGTAAGGTGTGTGTGGTCTATTTTCTCAGTTTCCCCATTCCATAACATGGTATTTATTCACACTGAATTCCATTTGCCACTTGACGCTCCAAACACTTATTTTATCTAGATTAATGGGGGAGTATGGGGGAGTGTGGGGGAGAGTGGGGGAGTGTGGGGGAGAGTGGGGGAGTATGGGGGAGAGTGGGGGAGTATAGGGGAGAGTGGGGAAGTATAGGGGAGAGTGGGGAAGTATAGGGGAGAGTGGGAGAGAGTGCGGGAGTATGGGGGAGAGTGGGGGAGAATGGGGGAGAGTGGGGGAGTATGGGGAGAGTGGTGGAGTATGGGGGAGAGTGGGGGAGTATTAATTTGAAGGACATGACAGTCGTCTGCGTCTCCTATCTTCCTTATGGTGTTAGTGTAAGTAATATAGAAAACAGATGACGAGGTAACAATGGTAACATTGATATAGTAATGGTAATAATTAGAACAATACAGGTAATGGTGTTTGTGATAAACTACTAAGATTGTATGTTGGAGATACTGGCTGTAGTACAGTATATTTAAAAAGAGTTGATGAACACAAGAAAGCAGTAACAAAATTTGATAGGAATAATGCCATTGCTAACCACTGTTGGGATTTTAATCACAGGTTAGATTTTAATAATAGTATAATTGTATGTAACTGCTCGAATATTAAAGAGAGATGCCTACTAGAAAGGGTTATTATAGATCCTATAGAAATGGTAAAGGGCAACAAATCTTTTAGTAAAGTTGATTTAATAAACTACAGTAGTATTCCTAATAAAACTAAATTAACTAATTTTATTAATTGATATAATCACAGGCATTGTGGTGTCCAGAATAAGGATAATGTTCCTGTGGTACCTGGCCCACAGTTCCCAGAATCTAGGACATATGATCATTCATCAGAAGTTCCGGCATCCATCCCTGGGAAGCATAATCATAACGTCTAATGACGGACGTCACGTGAGGCACTCTGCCAGACATACAAACCCAAGCACTTAGAATCTTGGTTCAATGCACTTTTTACATAACCTTGATAAAGGATGTAATTTCATCTAGAAATTTGATTTAATAACGTGTTATTAAATTCACTCTATTTAACAGGCCTCTTATTTACCGATCTGCCAGTTCCATTGACCGGTTTGGGAGCAGTTTTGTACAAGTACTGTACAAGTATTTGGTCTTTTCTTCACTGTCATCCAAACACTACAGTATTGAAGTAAGCTTCTCAATAATAATAATAATTTATTTATTCTGTGCATTACTGATAGTAAACATGAATGAATATGATTAATATTGAGTGAATGCTGGTTATATAAAAGGTACAGTATGAAAGTTATACACATTCTCAAAGCAAAAGTTAATGTCTTCAAAAATTTTCAGCTGGAAATATATTGGAAACTGAGTAATGAACAATGACAATTTACTTGAATGTGTCAAAATAATAAGATACAGTATATACAAGGTACAGTACTGGTTTTATACAATGAACAATGTACTGTACTCAAATTCTCAGAGCCAAGGTTAATGTTTTCCATTCCATGAAATCAATGATCAAAAATTTTACAACAACAATATCATAGAAACTGGATAAATAATGAGCCCTCCAGACTTACTTAGATGTGACACAGGTTGGGAAGATAATATTTTCCAACCCCCCGCAGACCACATGGCCATTGTGTTCGTACTGCTGCTGCTGCTGATAAGTATGTTGATTTGGCTGGCTAAGACGCTTGTGAGGCGACTGCGCTCTCGGTTTTCTTGGTGAACGTGGTAAACTCCCTACAGAAATAGTTGGCATAAGTGATATTTACTATATAGATATACTAATGCACATACTGTATCAATAATTTTGATGTTTAGATCCCTTGAGGATATCTTGAGATGATTTCGGGGCTTTAGTGTCCCCGCGGCCCGGTCCTTGACCAGGCCTCCACCCCCAGGAAGCAGCCTGTGACAGCTGACTAACACCCAGGTACCTATTTTACTGCTAGGTAACAGGGGCATAGGGTGAAAGAAACTCTGCCCATTGTTTCTCGCCGGTGCCCGGGATCGAACCCGGGACCACAGGATCACAAGTCCAGCATGCTGTCCGCTCGGTTGACCGGCTCCCTTGTAAATGTTTAGAAAGTAAATTCATTCAAATGATAAAGGTACTGTATTTCATCGTCAATACTAGAAAACCTCATGAAATAAACAATGCATATAGAACAGCAGGAGCATATTTAAAGTATTATTCATCCAGGCTTATCTTTTGGCTCCTCCCCAACGTAAATAATTTTAAAATTTAAACAAAAAACATACCGAAGATAGAAGTGTACCTCAAGTAATAATGATATTTTTGAACTATTAAAATGTTTGCTATAATAATTAATTATGATAAATTAGAATTCAATAAATGTTTAATAAAACAAATACCAAAAAGTCATTGTTAAAGAAAAGAATTAACCAATAATTTATACAAAAACAAAAATTTTATTTTGAAAAATGGGTTATAAACAATGCACTACACACCCAGTCATGTTACAAATAAAGCATGTCAGCCCAAATATTAAATTTTCTAGGAGGAGCCCCTTGGTGACTATTCACAAAATCGAACACAAAACAATGGGTATAAATTGGATAAGTTTAGATTTAGGAAAGACCTGGGTAAATACTGGTTCAGTAACAGGGTTGTTGATTTGTGGTCTGTTCTGGGCATGAGAGGGGAAGGGCCACGCGGTGCGAGCTCCGCGGAAAACAATATATATCTAGGGACATTTCAGTGATACAGGAACTAAACACAGTCAGATAACTTTTAAAGTGTGTCTCAGCATATTAACCAATATATCATAGTGATTACCATCCGACCGTTGTGTTCAAGGAAAAATAAGTGAACTTCGTGTGTAGTCAAGGCCTGCCCTCGTGGTGCCAGGAGGCCTTAGGCGATAGTTGCCAAGTCGTCATTAAATCACATCTCTCGCTATTGAAACATCAAGTAATCAGTGCCCATAGTGCTAAGCTCTCTATGCAAAACCTGTGTCTATTATAACAAAAATTAAGATAACATATTTTAATATCAAGTGAACAAATTATACACAAAATAATTCCGTCGTGTGTATGTAAACAAGGGCCATTTGGAGGTAGGCCCACCCCAGTACCCTCTGTGTGTGTATTCTTTCAAATTGTGTAACATACTCAGATAACTAGTGCCCAGACACAGAAACTAGACGCCTCCGCTGTAAGATAACTAGTGGGAAAATGCAAGTAATGTAATCTAACAAGTGAACAAAACAAATTAAGAGTGCGACACGTGGTAGCAACACTGGCCGTCCATACTGTCCCTCCGGGCCTGTCTGAAGTTGGTAAACACCCACGGCCAGCACCCACGGTCAACCCCCCCACCGGTCAACACCCCACCTTGTAAGACCTGGTAAGACCATCACCACTGAACAGAAGTGTTCAAAAAATGGCTTTGATAAAAACGTGCATAGAATGCAACATGAAGGTAGATTACCAACAGAGCTTTCAATGCCAACTCTGTTCAGCAGCCATACACAAAAAATGTGCCAACATGACTAACAATTCAAGGAGAAATGGTCCCAGTGACCACTCTGTGTACTGGCTCTGCAAAAAGGATGATTAACTTTTTTGAAGTTGATGGAAATCCTGGTTAAAACTCCCGCCGAAAACAGAGAATTACTAATTAATGCCTGCATAGCAATTTCTAATGTCTTCAAACAAACTGTACATGACACCAAGGTACAACCAGCTGTGGCACAGAGCTCGGTGGCAGCGGCGCCTGAGCAGGGCGCGGAGTCGGGGATGCCTGAGCAGGGCGCGGAGTTGGGGATGCCTGAGCGGAGCGCGGTGTCACAGGCCCCGGAGCAGAGCGCGGTGTCACAGGCCCCAAAGCAGAGCACAGTGTCGGGGACGCCGCAGCAGAGTGCGGTCCCTGGCAAAGGGAAACAAACAAAACAAGGCCCCAAAATCTGTTGGTATTACAAATGGGCTACCTGTAAGCATGGGGAATCGGGAAGAACAAATGGAACATGTACATACGATCACCCTAGAAAGTGCAGAAACCTCCTCAATACAGGTAAATGTACCAAAAGCTGTGAATTCTTTCACCCAGAAATTTGCAAGAACTCTTTGGACAGGAAAGAGTGCTTCAATGCTGAATGTCCAGCTTTTCATATAAGAGGTACCAGGCGAATAAAACCGACAGACTACCACTATGAAAACAGCCACTACTCCATCGACCGGGATAATTTTTTAGCAAGAGGAGGAGGAGGAGAAGAATGGCTAAAAATGACCAGACTCTACCACCAACTCGGTCAAATGCTAGAGAGGACACAAACACAGTGACCTCCTTACCAGAGCCTCAGATATTAACACCAAGTAAAGCATCCAGCACTTCCACTAACACGATAACATCATTTATATTTGCCAACATCCAGGGTATAAAAACACGCAAATCCAACAAAGTTCACTTTATAGATGGTCTCCTTCATGAGGCAAATGCAGTGTTTGCAGCCCTAATGGAAACTCACACAAAGGACTACCTTGATGGTGAAATATGGATCTCAGAGTACAATCTCTTCAGATGTGATAGGAAACACCGGCTTCAGGGTGGGGTCAGCCTCTACATCAAAGACACACTCATCTGTACTGAGCTGCTAAACACCTCAAATGATATGGTGGAAGTGCTGATAGTCAAAATAGAGATCCTAAATGTAGTTGTTGTCCTTGTATATAAGTCACCAGAGGCAAACCCTCAGCAGTTTAAAGACCAACTAATGAAAATAGAACACTGCTTGGAAAACCTCACAAATCCAGCTCCGAACATCATCCTGCTTGGGACTTCAACCTACGGCACCTGAAATGGAAGCACCTGGCTAATACAGTAGTATCAGAAAGAATACCAGGAAGTAGCCTAAATGAACAGGCACATGCAAATGACCTGCTACGGATGTGCGATAGGTTTGCCTTAAACCAGCAAATAGTAGAACCAACTAGGAAGGAGAACACGCTGGACCTCATTTTCACTAATAATGATGAGTGGATCGGGAACATAATGATTACAAATCATTACATGATTACATGTTCAAACCGCATACCCCTAAGAAAAAAGAGAAAGAGATGCAGATTGGAACGGGAACGTCGTTCCCTATATAGGCGAAGAAAACGAATCGCGGAACAACTTGAGAGTCACACCCTATCTCAAGAACGGCGAAGGTTAGGTAGAGAAATAGAAACAATTGAACTCAAGCTACAAGAATCATACAAAACCCAGGAGAGGCAAAGAGAGCAAAAGGCCATCAGTGAAAGAGATAGAAATCCGAAATATTTTTTCTCCTATGCAAAATAAAGATCAAAAACCACATCTAGTATCGGGCCCCTGCGAAAGGGAGATGGAACTTTCACCGATGACAACAAAGAAATGAGCGAGTTACTGAGGAAGCAATATGACTCTGTTTTCAGCGAGCCATTAAATGCACTAAAGATTGATAACCCAAATGAATTTTTCATGGATATGATACCAACATCAAATCATATATCAAACGTCGCCCTATCCCCACTAGATTTTGAAGAAGCCATAAACAGTATGCCTATGCACTCTACACCAGGCCCGGATTCTTGGAACTCCATATTCATCAAAAACTGTAAAAAACCACTATCGCAGGCCCTTCACATTCTGTGGAGACAAAGCCTAAATACTGGCGTTATTCCTGATATACTAAAAACAGCAGAGATAGCACCACTTCATAAAGGAGGAAATAAGGCAGAGGCAAAAAATTACAGACCGATAGCACTAACATCGCACATCATAAAATTTTTTGAGAGAGTGCTAAGAAGTAAGATCACAAAATACATGGAATCACAGCATCTCCATAACCCCGGACAACATTGTTTCAGAACAGGGCGCTCTTGCCTGTCGCAGTTGCTGGACCACTATGATATGGCATTAGATGCTATGGAAGACAAACAAAACGCTGATGTAATTTACACAGATTTCGCAAAAGCTTTTGATAAATGTGACCATGGTGTTATTGCACATAAAATGCGTTCAAAAGGAATTACCGGGAAAATAGGCAGATGGATCTACAATTTCCTGACTAACAGAACCCAATGTGTAATAGTCAACAAAATAAAATCCAGACCATCAACCGTGAAGAGCTCAGTCCCCCAGGGTACTGTGCTTGCTCCAGTACTTTTTCTCATCCTCATATCGGACATAGACAAGAACACAACCTATAGCACTCTATCATCCTTTGCAGATGACACTAGGATTTTCATGAGAGTTGGCAACAGAGGACACGGCAAACCTCCAATCAGATGTAGATCAGGTCTTTCTATGGGCTACAGAAAATAATATGGTGTTTAACGAGGATAAGTTCCAGCTCATGCGCTACGGAAAAATTGAAAATATAAAAACAGAAACCACGTACAAAACTCAGGCAAATCATAACATAGAATGAAAAGGCAATGTAAAGGATCTGGGTGTACTCATGTCGGAAGACCTTACCTTTAAAGAACACAATAAAGTAGCTGTCACAACTGCAAGAAAAATGACAGGCTGGATAACAAGAACTTTTCACACTAGAGATGCTATACTGATGATGATACTTTTCAAAATGCTTGTGCTCTCTAGAGTGGAGTACTGCTGCACAATGACAGTCCCTTTCAAAGCTGGAGAAATTGCTGACCTGGAGAGCGTGCAGAGATCCTTTACTGCTAGAATCCACTCAGTAAAACATCTAAATTACTGGGACCGACTAAAGAGCCTAAATCTGTACTCC